GATTAGATCTGAGTTAGCTCTGGGTTAGGTCTGGATTAGATCAGAATTAGATCTGGGTTAGGTCTGGTTTAGGTCTGGGTTAGGTCTGGGTTAGGTCTGGATTAGTTAATAATCCAAATTATCTTAACCCTTTGCACTCCTATGTCGAGTGTGATTCGACATCAATTTTGATCTCAGGGGCACCTTCGTCAAGTCTCGCTCGACATTCTTTCAAGTCCAAACCAAACAGATATCATACACTTGGAAATTACAAAATACAACAACAGTGTAAATAAAACACTTATTTTAACAGGTAAATTTCAAATAAAACACTTAAAAGCATTGTTCGTCAAGTCCCATTCGACATTTTTTCGAGTCCAAACCAAATCATACACTTGGAAATTACAAAATACAACAACAGTATAAATGAGACCTAACCCAGACCTAACCCAGATCTAACTCAGACCTAATCCAGACCTAACCCAGACCAAGGTGCCTAAATTTTTCATCGACGAAATTATTACACGATCTAATACTTAGACATACTTGATTGTACTCGATTATACTCGACTCCTTGGTGTAATTTCGAAGAGAGAATTTGAAAATTTTTACGTGAAAATATTAGGAAAATTGACTTGGTTCTACTTGATCAAACCTCTACAATTCTATTCAAGTTTATTCGACTGTGTTTGATCATGTTTGATGTATGTTCGTCTTCGCCCTACTTGACTCTGCCAGGTCAGATTTTATTTTTAATCAATCTTTGTCAGACTTGATATCGACCCATTCGACTTGTTTCAATTTAAATATGAGATTCATCGACTTATTACACGATCTAATACTTAGACATACTTGATTGTACTGGATTATACTCGACTCCTTGGTGTAATTTCACATACACCCGAAATCCTACTCATTTTCGAGAAAAAAATTCCTTACCGAAAATCTAATTTTTCTTCCAGACCTAACCCAGACCTGACCTAAACCTAATCCAGACCTAACCCAGACCTAACCCAAATCTAGTCTAGATCTAATCCAGACCTAACCCAGATCTAATCTAGATCTAATCCAGTCCTAACCCAGAACTAACCCAGTTCTAACCCAGACCTAACCCAGATCTAATCTAGATCTGATCCAGACCTAACCCAGATCTAATCTAGATCTAATCCAGACCTAACCCAGATCTAATCCAGATCTAATCCAGACCTAACCCAGACCTAACTCAGACCTAATCCAGACCTAACCCAGACCATCTAATACTCAGACGTACTTAATTATACTCGATTATACTCGACTTCTCGGGTGTAATTTCGAAGAGAGAATTTGAAAATTGATTAAATCGATGCACACAAGCTGGTCGTGTGCTATTACCGAAGGCACTTTTCCGGTGGAACAAGTTGGTTTTAACTTTGACTGTTTACTTTAGTGGAAACTCTGTGAAAGGTGGCTCCGGTAATAAACGAAAGTTCGGTATAGGGATTGCATCACGGGAAGTCAAACCTTGCCTTCCCAACGACACCAGAATTTTAATATTCCACGTCAGCCAAAGTACACAGGAAGCATAAGAACGCCTTGTTGAGAATATTCCAAAATGTTTGACCCAGTTCAGACGGTACGCATTTCACTAAATGTTCAACAACAGATTCAAAGCGAAGTATACAACATTTTTTTTGCCAACAACTCGGATACGACACTTTCAGAGAAAACAGTATGGTTCTTTTCAGTTTTAAAAGAATTTTTCATATTTCTGAAACTTTTCAGAATTGACGTTTGAGAATTATTGCTCACAATAAACACATATATCTGTGTCGTGTAGAAATTCGCGTTGATTTTCATAGTTCTGTAGGTTACCAGGAAACGAAACGAAGTATAATGAATTTCACGTAAGGCACATTTACATTTCAATTTGAAATATTCATGAACGAGGGATTTGCAAGCACTTAACGCGTGCATCGTGATTTTAGATAAATTCAATATGCATTAGCTCGTGTATTCGGAAACATATTCACTCGGAATACTTCCCGTTTATATAATCGCGCTTTTGACTTCGAATAATACGAAATTAGATAAACGAAATTATCGTTTTATCCATTTTTCTTCGCTACGTCGCGGAATCGAAATTATTACTTCGGCTCGTTTTGAATTTCGTTATGATTTTAAACTTTTCCAATTATCCTTCTTCGTTTGCTCCCTTTTCGATTGAATTTCGTGTTACGGGCGAAACAACGTTACGGTAATACAGGGAAGAGTTATGCTACCGAACGAACTATTCCGGCGCGAATACACAGCTGCAATTTGTTCTCAATTAAAAGTTAAGTTGATAAGCGATCTGATTTGTGAATTTGAAAATGCGATTACTTCGCTGGTAATCGAGACCGTGCCTTCCATCGGAGATGCAATATTACGCAAAGTGCAATTTAGTGCGTAATCGAACCCTCGAAAATTACGTTTTATTTATGGACCATTACTATTACGCTTCTGCATTGATTAAGAAGTTCTATTATTATCAAATACATCGTTTTTTTCAATTTTAAGATTTCTCTGAAGAATTGTAATACTCATGTCTATTTTCCTCAAAATACTACGCATTTATGATGTGTGATAAGCATTGTTTACATTTCGAGTTTATGTTTCGAAATGTTCCATCGTTTTTTCTGTTTTAAGATTTCTGTTATTCTGGAGTCGTCGTATTATACAGGGTGTTCGGCCAACACTGGGAAAAATTTTAATAGGAGATTCTAGAGGCCAAAATAAGACGAAAATTAAGAATATCAGTTTCTCGACTGAGGCCTCGTTAAAAAGTTATTAACGATTAAATTAACAAATTTCAAACCGTTCTGGAAAAATTATCTTCGATTGCGGGGATCAATTACAATCATTTTTAGTGAATACACATATCTTCGAGATTCTACCCACTTTCGAGAAAAAAATTCAAGTTGGTACTGAACTTTTTAGGTGAAATTAAAATATTTAAGATCGCATTAAAAAAATTATATTTAGTTACAGGGGTAAATTACAATCATTTTTTATCATTGCACGTACCCACGAAATCCTACGCATTTTCGAGAAAAAAATTCGAGAATGTGTCAAATTGTTCGACAAAATTAAAAATTTTCGAATCGTTATAAAAAAATTATTTTTAGTTGCAGGAGTCAATAACAATTATTTTTGGTCGTTACACATACCCCCAAAATCCTACCCATTATCGAGAAAAAAATTCGAGAGTGTGTGAAATTTTTCGACAAAATTAAGAAATTTCAAATCGATCTGGAAAAATTATTTTCGATTGCGGGGGTCAATTACAATAACTTTTGGTGAATAGACATACCCCTGAATTCCTACCCACTTTCTAGAAAAAAATTCAAGTAGGTACTGAAATTTTTAGGTGAAATTGAAATATTTAAAATCACACTAAGAAAATTATATTTAGTTACAGGGGGGAATAACAATTATTTTTGGTCGTTACACATACCCCCAAAATCCCACCCATTTTTGAGAAAAAAATTCGAGAGTGTGTGAAATTTTTCGACAAAATTAAGAAATTTCAAATCGATCTGGAAAAATTATTTTCGTTTGCAGGGGTCAATTACAATCATTTTTTATCATTGCACATATACCCGAAATCCTACGCATTTTCGAGAAAAAAATTCAAGTAGGTACTGAAATTTTTAGGTGAAATTGAAATATTTAAAATCACACTAAAAAAATTATATTTAGTTACAGGGGTAAAGTACAATCAATTTTTATCATTGCACGTACCCACGAAATCCTACGCATTTTCGAGAAAAAAATTCGAGAATGTGTGAAATTTTTCGACAAAATTAAAAAATTTCAAATCGATCTGGAAAAATTATTTTCGATTGCGGGGGTCAATTACAATAACTTTTGGTGAATAGACCTACCCCTGAATTCCTACTCACTTTCTAGAAAAAAATTCGAGAAGGTGTGAAATTTTTCAACGGGGGAAAAAAAATTTCAAATTGTTCTGGAAAAATTATTTTCGGTTGTGGGAGTCAATCGCAATCATTTTTGATGAATAGACATACCCTCGAAATCCTGCGCGTTTTCGAGAAAAAAATTCAGTACTGGCTCCACTTTAAACGTTAATAATTTTTCAACAAAGCCTCATCATATTCTGAATTGATTATTTATTAAAAAATCATTGAAAATCAAATGCTTATACTTTATGCTACGTGACCTACATAAAACTGTGATCAAACAATGATTATTCTTATGTGTAAATATTGTTTGTAGAAGAGAAACTTGTTTCTATGTTTTCTATCATATTTTATAATCATGTTATTTATATGATTCGCAATAAATATTGAAATGCAATTGCCACTACTTTATTCTTTCTTTATTTCGTAATATGCTGCTTTTTGAATTTTGTAAATATCATTCTTAGTTTGATTTTTATGAGCTTTTTCTCCAACCATAACAAACTCGTCAAATTGGGTTAAACGTATATTATGGATTTACCATAAAAAAAGACAAGATGACCTTGAAATAACCTTGAAAACGTTATCTAACGTAACCTTGAATAACCTTAAAAGACTAGTAGTGCCATCTGGCTCTCCACTCGAAACACTAAAGGACATATGTCAGTTTGCTTTTCAACCATAACAAACTCGTCAAATTCCTCGGTATTCTTCGCATAGGCACTAAAAGGGTTAAGATTTCTGTTAGGAATTGTAATATCTATTTTCCTCAAAATACTACGCATTTATGATGTATGATAAGGATTGTTTACATTTCAAAATTACGTTTCGAAATGTTCCATGACTATAAAGCTATTTCACTACCCTAAACGTGAATTTTAAGGAAAATCAATGATTCATAAAGAAGGGGGGAACAAGGGTCGATCTTTCCCTCGCGATATAAATCGATTCATCGATATCAACGGGCAACGAACTACAATCGAAGCAAGTCGAACTCATGAAACGATCGCAAACGGGTACAAAAGAACATTTCCTTCGCGATCGTTCCCATCGCTGAACGCAATGAATCGTTTCTCTCCACAGCTGCTGGTAATTTCGAGATTCAACCAGACCACCGTGCCAATGAGATCGAACTAGCGAGTTGAAAACTGACGACAGTCGAAGGCTAGTTAAAGCGACCGTAGAGCACTCACCACGGGTGCTCCAAGTACCCCCCAACAGGTGGCTTGCACGTAAGTTCCTCCTGCGTTCCCACCCTCAGCTCAGCTCATCGCCACATTCGATTCTAACCCTTCTCAACCCTTTCATTCAATTTTAATTTCATCCTCGAGTCCTTCAAGCCCAGGCACCTAACATACAATTTGCAAACTATGGGGGACGAGTATGTCACGTGCCTAGGAAGCTAGATCGTTTCTTTTTTTTTTATTTTGTTCCGCTATTCTCCCCTAAAATCGATGAGAAATTCCGAAGACCCCGGATCAATCACCATCGACCATTAATTCTAGCCCAATGAACGATCATCCACGGGAATCCCCGTCATCGTAACGCCCTAAGCCACGAGTACGGGGGACGTTGTTCGTTGTGTACCCACCGGAACTGGGCGAAACGATCAAAAGTACCACCCCCGACGAAACGAAAATTATCCAGCGTTTACTGGCTTGTGCGCGCAGCTCCGTCAATACGAGCGCAACGTCCGAGACTCCGGGCGGCTTGTGGGAGTGTGGCAAGTGCCTGGACGAAATGAGGCTGATGCAAAGGCTGGCGGTCAGCGGGCTGCTGTCCGTGATACTGATCGTTCTGCTGACGGGTACGTTCGTGACGCGACGCGACCTGGCGAACGTCATCGAGCGCGGCGTGGCGCCAGAGGAACGAAACGAGCCGCTGAATCCGGCCTGGGTGCAGAACAACGCGATCCCCGGCCAGGACGAGGCCAGGATCGAGGACAAGGATCGACGGGTGGACTTCAAACACAGACAGTCCGAACCGTCCGCGGTCGGACCCCCGCCGATTCCCGTGCCCGGGCCCTACGTCATTAAACCGCCTAATCCACCCTTGGACGACGTGACTAATCAGCGCCGTGAAAAGATCAAAGAGGTAAGCGTCCGTTTCGTTTCTCTCTCTCTCTCTCTTATTCCGTGCTCGTTGCTACACAGGATAATTATCCCTACATGATTGGGAACGCGACGATGGTTGCCATGGTTTGTGCAAACTTCTGGATGACACACAGGAGTCCCCCAGTGACTTTGAACGAGCTCTTTTCGCGGAGTTTGGTAACCATTGTTGGAGGGGACCAGGCATCGTGACTTTTTGTAGGGTCAAATCTCTCTAAATGAGTGGAATTACTTTAAAATCATCGAGAAGTGATGGTCTATGTTTATAGTTTCGCCACCACGTTATGAAACTTTTTTTTCTTTTTTTTTATTTGGTGGGTTATTTATTATTTAGCGAGGTTATTAGCGGCGTCGGTCGGATGGTTTTTTTCTTATATTTGGTCAATTAATTTTGTTTCTTTGATGAATCCCAGTAGGTTGTGTGACTTTTAATTTCTGAAAAGTATTTCGAACAAAAAACAATCGATATTTTGACTGTTTGGCCCCCCCTTAGAGCGAATAGGACTTGATTCGTAAATTGAACGTTTTTATCAAGTTGGGGGATCTCCCTCAGAGCTCAGCGAGTGTTCTGGTGTCGAATTTCGCCTATGTTGTACGTAAAATGAACATTCTTGGAACGATGTTCATTTTAAGAATCATTACTGTATGCAAATATCGTTGAATTCGACAGGAATGTTTCATTTTTTATAGAATGTCCCATTTAAGTTGAGATTGTAAAAAATGTTGAAAACTCGATTCGTAAATTGAACGTTTTTATCAAGTTGGGAGATCTTCAGAGCTCAGCGAGTCTGCTAGTGTCGAATTTCGCCTACGTTGTACGTAAAATGAACATTCCTGGAACGATGTTCATTTTAAGAATCATTACTCTAAGCAAATATCGTTGAATTCGACAGGAATGTTTCATTGTTCTATAAAATGTCCCATTTAAGTTGAGATTGTAAAAAATGTTGAAAACTCGATTCGTAAATTGAACGTATTTATCAATTTGGGAGATCTTCTGAGCTCAGCGAGTGTTCTGGTGTCGAATTTCGCCTATGTTGTACGTAAAATGAACATTCTTGGAACGATGTTCATTTTAAGAATCATTACTCTATGCAAATATACTTGAATTTGACAGGAATGTTTCATTGTTCTGTACAATGTCCCATTTAAGATTGTAATTAATCTCGAAAACTCGATTCGTAAATTGAACGTTTTTATCAAGTTGAGGGATCTCCTTCAAAGCTCAGTGAGTGTTCTGGTGTCGAATTTCGCCTACGTTGTACGTAAAATGAACATTCTTGGAACGATGTTCATTTTAAGAATCATTACTGTATGCAAATATCGTTGAATTCGACAGGAATGTTTCATTTTTTATAGAATGTCCAATGTAAGTTGAGATTGTAAAAAATGTTGAAAACTCGATTCGTAAATTGAACGTATTTATCAATTTGGGAGATCTTCAGAGCTCAGCGAGTGTTCTGGTGTCGAATTTCGCCTACGTTGTACGTAAAATGAACATTCCTGGAACGATGTTCATTTTAAGAATCATTACTCTATGCAAATATCGTTGAATTCGACTGGAATGTTTCATTTTTTACAGAATGTCCCATTTAAGTTGAGATTATAAAAAATCTCGAAAATCAAACTGACACACGTCTTTTAGTGTTTCGAGTCGAGAGCTAGATTACACTACTAGTCTTTTAAGGTTATTCAAGGTTACGTTAGATAACGTTTTCAAGGTTATTTCAAGGTCATCTTGTCTTTTTTTATGGTAAATCCATAATATACGTTTAACCCAATTTGACGAGTTTGTTATGGTTGGAGAAAAAGCTCATAAAAATCAAACTAAGAATGATATTTACAAAATTCAAAAAGCAGCATATTACGAAATAAAGAAAGAATAAAGTAACGGCAATTGCATTTCAATATTTATTGCGAATCATATAAATAACATAATTATAAAATATGATAGAAAACATAGAAACAAGTTTCTCTTCTACAAACAATATTTACGCATAAGAATAATCATTGTTTGATCACAGTTTTATGTAGGTCACGTAGCATAAAGTATAAGCATTTGATTTTCAATGATTTTTTAATAAATAATCAATTCAGAATATGATGAGGCTTTGTTGAAAAATTATTAACGTTTAAAGTGGAGCCTGTACTGAATTTTTTTCTCGAAAACGCGCAGGATTTCGAGGGTATGTCTATTCACCAAAAATGATTGCGATTGACTCCCACAACCGAAAATAATTTTTCCAGAACAATTAGAAATTTTTTTTCCTCGTTGAAAAATTTCACACCTTCTCGAATTTTTTTCTAGAAAGTGAGTAGGAATTCAAGGGTAGGTCTATTCAACAAAAGTTATTGTAATTGACCCCCGCAATCGAAAATAATTTTTCCAGATCGATTTGAAATTTTTTAATTTTGTCGAAAAATTTCACACATTCTCGAATTTTTTTCTCGAAAGTGGATAGGATTTCGAGGTTATGTCTATTCACCAAAAATTATTATAATTGACCCCCGCAACTAAAAATAATTTTTCCAGATCGATTTGAAATTTTTTAATTTTATCAAAAATTTCACATCTTCTCGAATTTTTTTCTCGAAAATGGGTAGGATTTTGGGCGTATGTGTAATGACCAAAAATGATTGGTATTGACCCTCGCAACTAAAAATAATTTTTTTATAACCATTTGAAAATTTTTAATTTTGTCGAACAATTTGACACCTTCTCGAATTTTTTTCTCGAAAATGTGTAGGATTTCGGGGGTATGTGTAATGATAAAAAATGATTGTAATTGACCCCTGTAACTAAATAGAATTTTTTTAAAAGTTCAGTACCTACTCGAATTTTTATTTCGATGTATCGTCGTTCGGCACTAAAAGGGTTAATAATTCAATTCCAAGATTGTGAGCTATTAATCCAAGAAAACTCTGAGCAACAAGGTATAAACGGAAGACAAGATGTCCTTGAAGTAACCTCGAAAACGACCACATAAAACTAGTAGTTCCATTTCACTCCCCACTCGAAATACTAAAAGACACGTGTCAGTTTATTCCTTTCAAATCACATGTCTTCGAGATTTTGTACAATTTCAACTTAAATAGAACATTTCATACAGTAAAACGATGGCATTGGAATCGATAGTATAGACACTATTACCTTGTACTCGCTAATTATTCGTTCCCTTACCATTTATAAAATTTTGAACACCTAATAATCTAAGTCTTTGAATATTAATTTCGTTCGAAAAACTGCGTTGCGTCTGTAATCGAGGAAAATGAACCCCCATCCATTCTGTTTGTCCATTAAAATGTATGAATGTAGTTCGTTAAATGGACGCGCGTGAAAGATGTCGAAGGTGAATTCAAGGTAAGTTCTACTTGTACAAATTACGTCGTATTACAATTTCCTAAAAGCTCGCTGAAAACGGATTCAATTCACTCGCCGGAGTTGCCCGTAAGTACACGTCTCTGTCAATTCTCGAGCGACGAATAGCATTGCTAACCAGATACCAGCGAAGAGGTAAGTCCGCCATTTTCGCGAGAGAAGCGGCTTTCTCCTCGTTGAATCTGTATCCGCGTAATTGGATAAAGGTGAGTAATCTTCGTCCTCTGCTTCTCCCGGTAATACACGTAATCTTCGGGGCCGTACCATACGATACGACTGAAATTATCCGTCATCCCGCGATGCAGTAATTGAAGCCTGGCATGGGCCCTGAAAACATTAATTTCGTTCGCTGGTAGTGATTTAACGATTACTTAATCTGCCGGTGGCTCGAGTTTTAACGTTATTCCGCACCTCTGCGCGGCGAAACCGACGATTCGCCGTGCAAACAGGACGCGTTTTTAACCGAGAACCCCGTAATCTCGACAGGAAGATCTCGGAGTCAGCCGATCGCCCCGGAAACAGATGCGATCTGTCCCATAATGAACGTACGCTCGAAATAATTTGCTTTTTTCCCGCAGGGAGAATCGCGATAAAGTTTAATTACAGTTTCCAACGCGAAATTGATACTCGGACATTCGACTCGACTCGTGGCCGCTTTGTCTTCGTCCCGTCCGATCGTCGCTGGGGCTTTATTCACCCTCACATATTGAATTCTTCGAACCCTCGTGAAAAATCCAGCGATTCTTTCATCGAGCATCCGAGCCACGGTCAAAGTTCTGCGAGAACGCGCCGCAGAAAGGGCGGAAATTAAAGTGGATCGCAAAGGGAAATCGATGAGTTCTCTATAACGTCGAGCCTAGCCAATAATCTGGCGTTGGTTCGCGGAGGAAACGGGGACACAAAGGTGGAACGAGCCTCCGCGGAAAATGACACGGAAAAGAGCGGATTAATCAAATGTATTTCGCGATCGTTCGAAATTTCATTTTCGGTGTAGGAAAAGCTCTGCCGGTGATCCGAATGGAAACGCGCCCTTTTCAATATTTCCGAATTTTAATTCCTGTTGAATTAATTAAAAAGACATTTCTAGCCTCACGTTAGATCTTCGGTAAGGAATTTTTTTCATCAAAATGCGTAGGATTTCGGGGATATGTGTAATGACCAAAAATGATTGTAATTGACCCCTGCAATTAATAATAATTTTTTCAGAAGGATTTGAAATTTTTTAATCTCGTCCAAAAATTTGTCCACTTTCCTGAATTTTTTTCTCGAAAGTGCGTAGGATTTCGGGGGTATGTGTATTTACCAAAAATGGTTGTATTTGACCACAGAATCTAGAAATAATTTTTCCAGAACGATTCGACATTTTGTTTTTTCGACGAAAAATTTAGGCACCCTGTCGATTTCTCTTAGAAATTTTTGATTTTTAGTCATTTTATTTGACGCTCTACAGAAAAGTTGTCTAATACTTTTTTGTAGGTACCCATGGGCTCTACTTTAGAAAAAAGTTTCATTGAAATATATTCACTATTGTAGAAGTTATGGCTGGTTTGAAAATTGAACCATTTTCATGGGGGTTTTCTCATTTTGCGGTGTAAAGGAATAAC